ATCCCTCTATTTTAACTGACATAAGAAAAATCACTTTAGAAAGGCATACAGGATGATGCTGGTAGTTGAAAGAACTACTTAAATAAAGAATTTTTTGTCAGGAAAACGTTTTTTAAGAGATCAGATAGTTCTCTATTTCTTGTCAGGGAGATTCCACCAAAATAATTTCATCTTCCCTGTGGGTCTCATAGTGAAACCACTGAGGCAATCACCTATATAATGAAAGATCACCCAGCCAAAGAAATATTTTCTTGAAAAGCCATCAGCTGTCTCCCTAACAAATGTGCCATCAGGTAAAAGCAAGGTTTTGCAGCAGGTGAAAGAATGAGGTAGAGCAACGCATATTCATATAGAAGGATACACTATTACATTAAAAAAAAAAAAAAGTTTCAGGACACTGGATATTGTTATTATTATGTTGGGATCTGTGTAGAAACACCTAGAAGCATAAATATAAGCAGAATAATGGTTATCTATGCGGTGTGTGGTTAGAGGCACTTACATTTTCTGAGTTCTACATTTTGGTACTATTTTAATTGTTTTGAACAAATATGTATTATTTAGGAATTAAAAAATAAAGTCTTGTTTAGTACATAGGTCTGATTTGTTTTATGATGCTTAAGAACTTGTGGTTGGCTGTGCATTCCAGAAACATGCGAAAAGAGGATTTCCCTAAATCATACTATTTGCCAACATTTAAATAAACTGAGAGCTAGGAAAATAATGTGATTTTTCTCACATTGACTCCTAGACTAGAACTTTTGGCTCCACAGCTTTCATTCAGCACAGAGAGATATAATACACAGATATAACCATTTCCAGTTTACACATTTGGAAACATAAGCAATGTTGCTTTGTGGAAAACTGTGCAATTATTTAGAATAGAAAAAAAACTTATTATGAAGTGGAAAAGAGGGAAATTGTGCATTTCCTCAGTGATAGGCAATTCTTGGTGGCAAATGTGACATAAGGGAAGAAGACACAAACATAAAGGATAGTACTTACCCAGGAAAACAACTTAAATAGAAATCTCTTGAACTGAAGAACTAGAAGCCATGAACAGACAAATAACAAGTAGCAAGATTGAAACAGTAATTAAAAGTATTTCAACAAAAAAAAAGTTCAGGACCTGATGGACTCCCAACTGAATTCTACAAAGAACTGGTATCAGTTTTACTGAAGCTATTACATAAGCCTGAAGAGGAGAGAATTCTCCCTAACTCATTCTATGAAGCCAGTATCACCCTTGTAAAAAAAAAAAAAAAAAAAGTTAAGAAAAGACACAACAAGAAAACTACAGACCAATATCTCTGAAGACCATACACCCAAAAATTCTTAACAAAATATTAGCAAAGCAAATTCAACAGTACAAAAAAAAAGAAAAGAAAGAAATTCACCACAATCAAGTGGGATTTATCCCAGGTATGCAAGGATGGTTCAACATACGCAAGTCAATAAACATGTACCACATAAGCAGAATTAAAGGCAAAAATAATATGATCATTTCAATATATGCAGAAAAAAACCTGTGATAAAATCCAGCACCGCTTCATGATAGAAACCCTCTAGAAAATAAGCATAGAAGGACCATTCCTCAACATAATACAATCCACACACAACAAGCCCACAGCCAATGTCATCCTGAATAGAGAAATGTTAAACACATTACTCTTCAGAACAGGGACAAGGCAAGAATATCCATTTTTGCCACTCTTATACAATATAGCACTGGAAGTTCTAGCCAGAGCAATCAGGTAAAAGAAAGAAATAAAGTATATCCAAACTGGAAAAAAAAAAAAAAAGAAAGAAATAAAACTATCTCTGTACGCTGACAAGATGATATTATGTCCAGAGAATCCAAAAGACTCCTCCAAAAGACTCTTCAGTAAAGTTTCAGGATACAAAACCAATACACACAAATCAGTAGCACACTGTACACCAATAGCAACCAAGCTGAGAATCAAATCAAGAATGCAATTCCATTTGCAATAGCAGCCAAAAAGCTAAAATACCTGGGAATATATTTAACTAAGAAGATGAAAGATCTCTACAAGAACTATAAAACACCAATGAAAGAAATTGTAGAGGACACAAATGGAAAAACATCCTATGCCCATGGGTTGAAAGAATCAATATTGTTAAAATAATAACAGTATTGGGGAAAGGACACCCTATTCAACAGATGGTGCTGGGAAAATTGAATAGCTACATGTAGAAAAATGAATTGATCCCCATCTCTCCCTATATACAAAAATTAACCCAAGATGGACTAAAGACTTAAATGTCAGGCCTGAAACCATAAAAATTCTAGAAGAAAACCTAGGAAAAACTCTTCTGGACATCAGATTAGACAAATAATTTATGGCTAAAATTCTAAAAGCAAACGCAATAAGAACAAAAATAAAAACTAAAAAACTTCTGCATAGCAAAATAATCAATGAAGCAAACAAGCAACCTACAGAATAGGAGAAGATATTCACAAACTATACATCTGACACAGGACTAATATCCAGAATCTATAAAGAACTCAAAGACATCAGTAAGGAAAAAAAAGTGACCCCATTAAAAAGTGGGCAGCCAGGTACAGTGACTCAAGCCTGTAATCGCAGCACTTTGGGAGGATGAAGCAAGAGAATTGCCTGAGGCCAGGGGTTCGAGACCAGCCCAGGCAACTTGGTGAGACCTCGTATCTACAATAAATAAATAAATAAAAATTAGCCGGGCGTGGTAGCGCACGCCTGTAGTTCCAGCTACTTGGAAGGCTGAAGCTGAAGGATCACTGGAGCCCAGCAGGTCGACGCCGGGGTGACCATGAGCATGCCACTGCACTCCAGCCTGGGCAACAGAGTGAGACTCCATCTCCAAAAACTAGATAAATTAATTAAGATTAAAAAATAAAAAACTATAGATGCTGGCACAGATGCAGTAAAAGGAAACGCTTATACACTGTTGGTGGGAATGTAAATTAATACAATCTCTATGGAAATTAGCATGGAGATTTTTCAAAGAACTAATAGTAGGTCTACCATTCAATCCAGCAATCCCACTACTTGGTATTTATCCAAAAAAACAGAGGTCATTATATAAAAAAGATACCTGCACTTATATGTTCACTACAGCACAATTCACAATTACAAAGATGTGGAGTCAACCTAAATGCCCATCTACTGATCAGTGGATAATTAAAATGTGATATACATATATCAAAGGAATGAAATCATGTCTTTTGTAACAACTTGGGTGTAATTGGAGAATATCATCCTAAGGGAACTAACACAGGAACAGAAAACCAAACACTGCATGTTCTCACTTATAAGTGAGAGCTAAACTAAGGATCTGCAAAGGATAGTGCACTGGAGACTCAGAAGAGGGGGGGAGGGAAGGGGCAGAGGCACAAAAAATCGCCTATCAGGTACAATGTGCACAGGTGGGCGTGGTGAGTACACAGAAAGCCCAGATTTCTTCACCACTATACAGTGCATCTATGGAACCAAAAACTATTTATACCCCTAAAGTATTGAAATAAAGAAAGAAAAATATGTCTTGACTATTACCTCTAGTCCTTTGTATATATTAGACTACTCATTAAATTCTTTGAATGGCATCCACTCAATGTACAACTATTTACTGAGCACTTAATATGTGCTCCAGCCACTGGGGTGCAGCAGTGAGTCAATGAGACAAATTTCTGCATTCACAGAGCTTATATTCTAGTGGAGAAAATACAATAAAGAAGAAAACATATAAATAAAGGATATTATTTCGGGTAAAGATATAATAAGAAAGCGATGAAGCAGGGAAAGTGACAGTGATAGGAGTGCTATTTTTGAAAGGTCAGCAAGGCCTTTTAAGGAAAAACGCCATTTGAGCTGGGGCCTGGAGTGAGCAAGGGAGCCATGCAGAGTTCTTCCAGGAGGGCATCCCAAGAGTACAGCAAGAGCCAGGCCCTGGGCAAAAATACTCATTCCTTATTTTTCTGAAAAAGTAAAGAACATCCCAAAGACAGAGTTCTCAATGTCTGGTGTGGTAAAGATTTACCGTTGTTGCTTTAATGTTCATAAGTCTCTGCACTATAAATATCTCTCTATTGCTTACATACCTGAGGATGAATTTTAATTCAGAATCAAGTCTACTGCAACGTTACCCTCTTAGCTAAATGGTCCCTAATAATACCTATTGCAAAGACATAGAATCTCACTCATGGTAGTCAAAGTTGTTCATTCCGCAAAGAGAGATGAGGCTGAACCAAAGGGGACCTTGGGTTTCAGTCTGCACCCCCACTCCCCCACTCACAAGCAGTTACAGGCTGCCTAGAACAAGCAGCTGGGAAGGTTGTAAAAGGCGCAGAGAGGAGCTACAGAAGATGCCTCTGGCGTTCTCAAATTTTAGTCTCAACTGTTATGCAACTTGCATCTCCCTCACACGTTCAGCTCTGGTGGAGACAGAAATGACAGTCTCTACTTCACAGTGGGGAGGCAGACTGTGGCTCAGAGAAGTGGGGAGTGGCTTCCCAGGGTCATGGAGAAAGCCAACTCTGATCCTTCACCCTCACTCTGTTACCTAAGCCACATGCCAGGACACGGACCACATGGGGTGGGAGTCCGTGATCCATTTCAGGAAACGGGCTTGTTGATTTTTCATTTACACAAAAATGAAAAATAAATACCAGATGTTTGAAAACATATTGCAACACATCTTTCTGGGAGTTAAGAGTGCATTTTGACTGAAAAAAAATTAAATTAGAAAATCCACATAGCAAAAAAAAAGATGTTTTTAATGAAAATGCACTTTGTCTCTCTCGCTCTTTCTCATTCACACACACACAAACAATATCTCGTTGTTTCTTTTTCAGGGAGCAGCTGTGAAGGAAATTGGGGGAGGAGAATGGACACAACATCTCATCTTTGTGCTTCACACAGTGCTAAGCGTTTAGGCCAGCCTTCCTGAGCTCTAGGGGGTGTGGCATGCATGAAAAGTAAGCATCGATGTCCTAATGCAGCTTATAAAATACCCTGGGAGAAGCCAGTCACCAAGACAGGCATCTCAAATCGGATGACTTTGCATGTGGAAACTGCCTTCAGCTTGATCAAGAAAGGTATGTACTGTAGTTTTTATTTTCATGGATGATAAACAGTACTTAAAATAGAGATAGTCCTGATTTTCCATTGCCCCTCTCAGCTAATCTAATAACTACACTAACTGAGTAGCTTTACAGAATTGTTCTCATCTTTCCTCAAATTTACAAGGTAAGTATTACTAGAGCCATTTTCAGGTGAGAACACTGAGGTTCAGATGCACTGAGCAACAGTTAGGCCTAAGATAACACCAAACCCAATGTTGATTCATCCCAAAGTCTTTTACTTGCACTATGTCCTCCCCCAACCAAATGAGACAGGGAGAAAATTTTCCACGCACTAATACTGGACTAGATGAATTCTTAGGGAGTTATCCAATTGCACATTACAGTAAATTTGTCTGACAGCTGGAATTAGTTGTGTGTATGGAAAATGCAGGCCAGGCTTGGTGGCTCAGCCTATAATCCCAGCATTTTGAGAGGCCGAGGTGAGAGGATTGCCTGAGCCCGCGGGTTCGAGACCAGCCTGGGCAACTTGGCAAGGCCTTGTCTCTATAATAAATAAAAAAATTAGCCGGGCATGGTAGCAGGTGCCTGTAGTTCCAGCTACACGGAACACTGAGGCAGAAGGATTGCCTGAGCCTACCAGGTTGATGCTGGGGTGGCCATGAGCATGCCGCTGCACTCCAGCCTGTGTGATGGCGTGAGACTCCAACTCAAAAAAAAAAAATGCAGGCCAGGTGAAGCAGTTCATGCCTGTAATCCCAGCACTTTAGGAGGCTGAGACAGGAGGATTGCTTGAGCCTGGGAGTTCAAGACCAGCCTAGGCAACATAATGAACCTCGTCTCTACAAAAAAAAAAAAAAAAACTTAGCCAGGCATGGTGGCACATGCCTGTAGTCCCAGCTACTTGGGAGGCTGAAACGGAAGGATCGCCTCAGCCCAGGAGGTTGAGGCTGCTGTGAGCTGTGATTATGCTACTGCACTCTAACCTGGGCAACAGTGAGACCCTGACTCAAAAAAAGAAGAAGAAGAAGAGAGAATGGAAATGCACTTAACAATATAGCAAAAATATATTTTCTTCAGAAGATATGTTTCTTATTAGATTCAATGGCTAAATGGGTTTTGGAGATCCATTTATTTAGTGTGGAAACACATTTTACTTTATCAGGTGAAATCACAAAATCTAGTCCTTAATTTTCTGCAGCTTCTTGGGATCAGGGACTATGTCCACACCCAGACAGTAAAAGCAAAGGCCCTTGGAGATCTGGACTTAAATTTTATCTTCATAACTTAGTAGGAAGTAACCTGGACAAATTCATCTCATTGAGTACAAAGAGAATGTCAGCACAGTTTACTTCTAAATGAAGTGCTGTGGATATCAAGTACATAGTGCACTTGAAATACTGAGGCTGGGACTTCTCTGTGGAGGAAACTCAGTGAATGTGACCAGTGATTTGCAGTCAGTATCTGGTCCTAGTAGATGCACTGTAACTTTAGGAAGATAACTTTTACATTATTTAATATTCAGTATAAAACAATGTTAAAATTATATTTACTTTGTAAAGTAAACTCTTCATTAGTACAATCTTCCTACTGGCATCAGAAGAAGATGCCAAAAAAGTCATATGTAAACCATATTTTATGTAAGTTCATAAGTATATGTTAATAATGTACTCAGTAATGTTGAGTAAATCAGAATGAAAGGGGCACTGGAAAATATTATGGATGCTATCCACTCTTTCTCGCACAAAGAATTTTAACCGTAGGAATAAAACTACTGTAACACAGCTGGGCGCAGTGGCTCATGCCTATGATCCCAACATTTTGGGAGGTTGAGGCAGGAAGATTGCTTAAGTCCAGGAGTTTGAGACCATTCTGGGCAACAAAGTGAGACTTCATCTATCTATATATATATATATATATGCATTTTTTTTAAAGTTTTTTAACTACCGCAAGGAGGAGGCATCTTTGAAAGAGAAGCAATCAAGGAGAATTAGCCTTCTTCTGAAATCCTCCTACAGAGCTAAAGAATATGTTTCAGCCCACAAGAGAACATTTAGAAATTAGACATTGTCAGAGTAAAATGTGGAACTGACTTTTGTTGTCACTGTCATGTGGTGAAGTGAGACTCATTGGGTCACGGGGGTGGGTGTTTATTGAAAGGCACCCACGGTAGGGCGCAGGAGGAAGCATTGTTCAAGGTGCTGCAGACAGGAAAGCTGGAGACCAGCCCAAACCCCACTTCTCTGGGTCTCAGCTTTCCCATCTTCCATCTGGGGAGTAGGGTTAGAGGGATTACCCCAAGCTCTTGTCCAGTTTGGGTGACCTTGTAGAATGAGCATGACGTGTGGCCATTCTTTGAGGTCAGAGTCAATGGACAGGGCCCTTAGCTGGGGTTTACTGAGTAGAATCTTTCAAAAATGGATGCAAATTTCTGTGGGATTAGGCTAGATTTTTAGGAATCCATCACCCCTCCAAAAAATGGTTAAAATTCAGTACTATTTACATGGTGGGAATTGCTGATGAGAAATGGAGCCTCAAAGACTCCCGCCACCCAAAGTTCCACCACAGACTTGCTCAAGGGACCCCAGCTATCACCCCTTCCCCAAGACTTCAGACGGCAGCTTTTACTCCTTATGTAACTGCTCTTTTGAAAAACCAGGCAACGAAACTCCAGCAGAAAGCTATTGATTATAAAAAGTTATTTGGAGATTTAGAGATTCATAATAAAGCAGTTATAATTATTCCTATAATGACACATCCTTTTAAATGCTCAGATCCGAGAACATTTTGCTGGCATTACATCAGTTGTCTTCATCACAGGGAGAAAGACAAAGTGCTGGAAATAGCTCGTGTGCAGTCACAGGCAAGGAGTCACAAGGAAGGAAACGGACCAAAAGCAAGTCCGTGAAAGAAGCAGGAAGGAGCCCAACGTGCCCAGAACCTGCAAACACCAGTGCGGCCAGCCTCTCTCCCCAACCCCTCTGCCCCCCTCCAAAGCCAGTGTCTGCTGCCAAAGGACACTTGAGGTTGAAATGCTCTTATGCAGTTACACATCAGCTGACAGTCCTCCTCTGGTTAAATGCACATCATCTATGAAAAATACCCTCAACAGAATGTGGGAAAAAAAGGGAATCTGGCAAATACAATCTGTTTCTGCTATTCATAACAATAACTAGCATTTATAGAGCATTTACTCCATGTCAGACACTACTCTAAATACTCTGTTATCTCATTTAATTCTCACAAAAGTTAATGGGATGGATATGATTATTATTTGCACTTAATAGACAAAAAAACTAAGGCATAAATTGGACAGTCATACTCAGTATGTGGCAGAGCCCGAATCTGAACTCGGTCAGGGTAACTCTGGAGGCCCCAGCACGCTGCCCCCTGTTAAGTGCCCCCTAGGCCACGCTTGGTTTGACAGAACAGCCTAGTAAGATGGGTGCAGGGGTGCAGGTGGGAGCAGGGAAACATTTCTTGCATCTCATAGGACACTCAGTGCTGTGCACGGTTTTGGTTTTGGTTTGCTTTGTTCTTTCATAGTTTGCAGGAAGGCGTCAATCTGCCCGTTTACCTAGTTCCTCTCACATGGTTTCTGTTCATTCAACAAGTGTCTACTGAGTCTGATATTTAGAGGTCCTGGAAATGATTCTCAGGAGTATCAGACACAGTGCCCACCCTGGGAAATGCAAAATTAAGTGGGGGGGGGGTGCAAAATCAATCCAATACCAGGCAGAGTGCCCTAATAAAGGTACAAAGGCTCTGAGGAGGTAGGCCTCACTGGGATGTTGACTATCAGGTGTCCCCTGAAGGATTGGGATTCACACGGGCTGGGGGACTCTGGGGGGCTTGCCTGCAGAGGGACCAGCAGGCATAGGAATCCTGCTCTGCAATTGCACGTCCTCAGGAGGCTCAGAACGATCCCAACTGCTTTGTTTCCCCTAATCCAGGTCCCCACTACAGTTACCGAGCCTCACGATGGTGATGACGCTGTTGCTGCTTTCCACACTGGCTGGCCTCTTCAGTGCAGCAGAGGGACAAGCATTCCATCTTGGGAAATGCCCAAATCCTCCTGTGCAGGAGAATTTTGACGTGCATAAGGTGTGGTAAAAGGCTAAGCTCCCATCTGTTTTGCTCTCTCTGTTTGAATAAGCATTCTACAAGGTTCCATTTTGTTGTTCTGTTTTTAATTGCAGCAAGCCCTGGGACAGGTACTCACCTTATTCCGGGTTACCCCAAAGTAGACTCTGAGCCAAGGACTGGGAGCAGAGGGTTTTTCAGAGATGACCCCAGGAAGCTCGAGGGGGCATGTGGGAAAGAGAGACCGAGAAAGCACAGAAGCAATAAAAGATTTGTTCTTACTCTGAGCAATGGGCTTCCATCCTGCTGCGTATCCTCTGAGGAAAGGTGTAGAATGTACCTCAGATTATCTTGCAGTCTGATGTCAGCAGGCTGTGGGAGCGCCCATGGCACTGGCCAAGCCCTCCAGCAGAAGAGACACAGGGTATCAGCTGGGAAGCTGGCAGTGTATGGGAACTGTCCACTGTGGCTGAGGTGAACTGAAGCGGGCTGAGGGGATACAGGACAGGGCATTGACAGCAGCTGCTATAGTACCATTATCCCTGTTCTACAGATGAAAAAGCCGAATGTCCCTACCCAGGTCTCATAGCTACTCAATGCAAATAGGATTCAAAACCAGGCTACCCAGCAGTGCTGGGCACCCAAGGGTTACTCAAACAGGGCTTAGGACAGGCCAGAACTCCCCGAGGGCTTTCTTGTTAGACACACTAAAAGGATATCAATATAATCAACTCACCCATAAATGACCTTTCTTCCTGGGTTGGGGGGTGAGGGAGGGAAGGGAGGAGGCTGCAAAAGGAGGCAGCTATTGGATGACATGACTCAGAGACTCCCATGGCTGCTACTTATGCCTGGAATTTCAACCTCAAGACATCCCTCCTGCATAGAAGGTTTTGCTCTCTCTTTTTTTTTTTTTTTGGAGTTGGAGTCTCACTCTGTCACCCAGACTGGAGTGCAGCACCGCAGCCTCTACCAGCTGGGCTCCAGCGATCCTCCCACCTCAGCCTTCCAAGTAGCTGGAACTACAGGTGCGCGCTACCACGCCCGGCTAATTTTTGATTTATTGTAGAGATGAGGTCTCGTCAAGTTGCCCATATACATGATTTGAGTAAGTTGAGGTTGTTATCAGATACTCACACCTCCATGTGAATGAGTGTTGGGACTTCTGAGAGGATGACTTGAGTAGAGGTGTGAGGGAAGAGCACTTGAAGCCTGGGGGGGTTAGAAAAGGAGCATCACCAATAAGATGGAGAGAGCTCACACAAGTGAGGTAGGAAGAAGCGATGTAGTACACTGACGTCTACACTGACTTCCTCCACTAATTTTTTTAAAGGATTGATCTCTTTATTCAGGTAACCCTGGTGGACCACAAGGAAGCTTTACAGAAAGATCCAGGGCAGGGCAGGCATTGCCTATAATCCCAGCACATTGGGAGACTGAGGAGAGAGGATTGCTTGAGCCCAGGAGTTTGAGAACAGCCTAGACAATATAATGAGACCTCGTATCTGCAAAATAAAAATAAAAATATTAATCGGGTATGATGGCATGAACCTGTAGTCTCATCTACTTAGGAAGCTGAGGTGGAAGGATCACCTGAGCCCAGGACATTGTGGCTGCAGTGGACCACTGCACTCCAGCCTGGGCAACAGAGTGAGATCCTGACTCAAAAGAAAAATCTAGGGAATTTGAGTTACATTTAGTTTTTGGAGTTAAACTAAACTTTCGAATAAAAGTTCCAAGACACTTTGGAAATTATAACTGAGCTGTACTAACAAAAGCTCTTTGAGAATTAAAGCAGGAATTTAATAATCATAGCTTATTGAGATATAATTCATATTACCGGGTAATCCACTTGTTTAAAGGGTTTTTTCACTTTCAGTGGTTTTTAGTATATTCACAAAGTTACGCAATCAATTTTAGAACACGTTTTCATCCCAAAAAGAAACCCTGTACCCACTGTCAGTCACTCACCACCCTCCCTCAATGCTTTCAGTCCCAGACACCCAATGATCTACTTTCTGTCTATATATTGTCTATGCTGAACATTTTATAGAAATGAAATCAGACAACATATGGTCTTTTGTGACTGACTTCTTTTACTTAACAATGTTTTCTAGGTTCATCCATGTGTAGCATATATCAGTACTACATTCCTTTGTATTGCAGAATATTCTACCATATGGATTATGCCATATATATTTTTTTGAGCTGGGGATCTCACTATGTTGCCCAAACTGAACTTGAACTGCTGGGCTCAAGTGATTTTCCCACAGCAGCCTACCAAGTAGCTGGGGCTATAGGCATACCACTACTCCCAGTAGTGGATTATACCATATTTTATTTGTCCATTCATTATTTGATTGTTTCCACTTATATACTATTAGCAATAATGCTCTTATGAACATTCATGTTCAAGTATTTTGTGGGGAGGGGTAACATATATTTCCAATTCTCTTGGGTATATACCTAGGGATGGAATTGCTGATGTGTTAACTCTATGTTTAACCTTTTGAGAAACTGCTAGACTATTTTCTAAAAGAGCTACGCCATTTTACATTCCTACCAGCAGTGTATAATTCCAATTTCTCCATATCTTTGCCAAAACTTGTTATTGTTGTCTTTTTTTATTATAGCCATTTTTAGTGAATGTGAAGTGGTATTTCATTGTGGTTTTGATTTGCATTTCTCTATTGGCTAATGATATCAAGCATCTTTTCATGTGTTTTTGAATATTTGTATAGCTTTTTTGTATGTCTTCTATTCAAATCCTTTGCCTATTTTGAATTGAGTTATTTATATTTTTATCATAGAGATGTAAGAATTATTTCTATATTCTAGTTCAAATTCCTTATCTGGTATATAATTTGCAAATATTTTCTCCCATCCTATGGATTTTTTCACTTTATTGATGTGCCCTTTGAAACACAAGAGTTTTTAATATTAATGAAGTCAAATTTGTCTATTTTTTTCTATTGTTGCTTATGTTTTTGCTGCCATATCTTAAAAACTATTGCCTAATCCAAGATTATGAAGACTTACTCTTTTGTTTTGTTTTTATGTTCGGGGCTCATTCTATCACCCAGGCTGGGTGCAGTGACACAATCACAACTCACCATAGCCTCGATTCAGACTCAAGCAATCCTGCCTCAGCCTCCTGAGTAACTGGGTAAACAGGCTCACACCATCATACCTGACTAATTTTTTTTTATTTTTGTAGAGATAAGATTTTTTTTTTTTTTTTTTTGAGCAGGAGTCTCACTCCATTGCCCAGGCTGGAATGCAGTGCCACCCTCACAGTCACCCAAGCATCAACCTGCTGTGCTACAGCAATCCTTCTGCCTCAGTCTTCCAAGTAGCCAGAACTACAGGCATGCGCCACCACACCTGGCTAATTTTTTTAAATGTATTGTAGAAATGAGGTCTTGCCAAGTTGCCCAAGTTATTCTCAAACCCGTGGGCTCAGGCAATCCCCTCACCGTGACCTCTCAAAGTGCTGGGATTACAGGCTTGAGCCACTGTGCCTGACCAAGACAAGATCTAATTATGTTGCCCAAACTGGTCTCAAACTGCTAAGCTCAAGCAATCTACTCGCCTCAGTCTCCCAAAGTACTGGGATTATAGGTGTGAGCCTTCACCCCTATATTTTATTTGAAGAGTTTAATAGCTTCAGTTCTTACATATGAGTCTTTAATCCATTTTAAGTTAAATTTTGTATACAGTGTGATATGTGTCCAACTTCACTCTTTCACATGTGGATATTCAGTTGTCCCAGCATTTTGTGGAAAGACTATTCTTTCTCTATTAAATAATCTTGACTGTATATGTGAGGGTTTATTTCTGAACTCTTAATTCTATTTTATTGGTGTGTATGTCTATACTAATGCCAGTACCACACAGTCTTGGTTACTATAGCTTTGAGGTAAGCGTTGAAATCAGAATGTATGAGTCCTCCAACTTTATTCTTCTGGCTATTCTGTGTCCCTTACATTTTCATATGGATTGTAGAATCAGCTTGTCAATTTCTACAAAGAAGTTAGTTGGAATACTGATAAAGATTGCACTAGATCTAAAGATCAGTTTGAGAAGTATTGCCATCTTAACAATATTAAGTCTTCCAATTCATGAACATAGACTATCTTCCCATTTACTTAGGTCTTCTTTAATTTTTTTCAACAATATTTTGTAGTTCAGAGTATAAGTTTTGCATTTTTCTAGTTAAATTTATTCTTGAATATTTTATTCTTCCGATGCTATTGTAAATGGAATTTTCTTAATTTCATTTGCAGACTGCTTATTACAAGTATGGAAGTGCATTTGCTTTTTATGTATTAGTCATGTATCTTGTTACCTTTCTGAACTAATTAGACCCAATAGTTTTTGTTTTAGATTCCTTAGGATATTTTATATGTTATTGGCAAAAAGATATAGATTTACTTCTTTGTTTCTAGGATTCCTTTTTATTTGATTTTTTTTCTTTTTTTGCTTCTTTACTCTCCATTTGCCTTTGTTTTTATTTGACTTCTATTAGCAAATTTATTCACACACATATTTTATTTTAGAGTCAGAGCACTCTGTCTCTCAGGCTGTAGTGCAGTGGCACAATGGCACAGCCTCAAATGCCTGGGCTCAAATGATGCTCCAGCTTCAACCTCCCAAGCTGCTGGGACGACAGGCATGTGCCACCACACCCAACTAATTTTTTAATTTTTCTGGTAGAGATGAGGTCTCACTATGTTGTCCAGGCTGGTCTCAAACTCCTGGGCACAAGCAATCCTCCTATCTCGGCCTCCCAAAGTTTGGGGATTACAGGCATGAGTCATAGCCTGGTTGATACTACTGTTAATTATAGTCATCCTACAGTGGTATAGAACACTAGAACTTACTCCTTTCTACAATTCTTTTTTTTTTTTTTGGTGAGTTGGAGTCTCACTCTGTCACCCAGCCTGGAGTACAATGGCACAGTCATGGCCACCACAGCCTCGACCTGCTGGGCTCCGACAACCCTTCCACCTCAGCCTTCCAGGTAGCCGGAACTACAGGTGCGCGCTACCATGTCTGGTTAATTTTTTGATTTATTGTAAAGACAAGGTCTTGCCAAGTTGCCTGGGCTGATCTCAAACCCGCAGGCTCAAGCAATCCACTTGCCTCAGCCTCCCAAAGTGCTGTGGTTACAGGCTGAACCACCGAGCCCAACCTACAATTCTTTTTAAACATTGAATTCTCCTTCTACAGATGGAGAAACTGAGACCTGAAAAGATTAAGAGGCCTTCACAAAAATAATGAGAGCGTGAGGGAACATGACATGAAAATCAGTCTTTTACTTCTGAGTTTCCTCTTTTCTGAAAATTATGCTTCTTTAGTTTTAATTGTGGAGCACGATGTCACTTTAGCAATAATAGAATTATATTAAATGCACTGTACAACATTGAACTTTTTCTGAGGATATCTATAAGACCAGTTAACCTGTAACCTTATGCTTTGGTGCGTCAAATCAATGTTAAGTTCAGTGGTTTGAATTGAAAGTTGTGCTTTAATAAATGAATGGAAAATTTATGGTCATAAATGTGGGCATGTATTTGAACAGAAAGCCATGTGACTGAAGCAATACTGCCACCTGTTTGCAATATGCTCTCTCTCATGTTCTAACTGTTTGAAGGTAAGTGTATCTCCTTTTGTTGAGTAATATACATCTTGAAATGTCTAAATTCTAACTGGTATGTTCACATGGTTCAAAATTCTAAAGGTGCAAAAGAACATACCTGCAATGAAGAGTTTCCATCCCACTTCTGTACCTCAGTTTCTTTACCCAGTAGGAACTAGTAAAAACAGTTTATCGTGTATCATCTTGAAGATAATATATACCTATATAAGCAAATACAAAAACTGTGTAAACAAAATAATGGCTTCCAAAGGTGGCCATGCTCTAGTCATTGGAACCTGTGAATGTTACTTTACATGGAGAAAGGAATTTTTCAGATGGGACTGAAGTGATGAAACTTGAGGTGGCCAGCCTAGCATGGCTTATCCAGGTAGACTCAATCTAATTACAGAAATCCTTAAAAGCAGAGAACTTCTACCTGCTGTGGTCAGAGAGGTGTGACAATGGAATAAGAATCAGAGGGATGCAATATGAGGAGTTGACTCAGTTTTTTTACTGACTTTGAAAATGGAGGAAAGGGTTCCCAAGCCAAGGAAGGCAGGTGGCCTCTAGAACTTGGAAAAGGTAAGAAAACTGATCCTCCCTTAGAACGTCCAGAAGGGAATACAGCCACCACTTTTATTTTAACCCAGTGAGACCCATGTCAGACTTCTGACAGAACTGTACGATAATAAATCTATGTTATTTTAAGAATGTAGTAATTTGTTATAGCAGCAATAGAAAGCCAACATAATAACTATTTTGCCTATTTTTACACAAAAAGTAATGTAATGTATATACTATCTTGTACCTGGATCTTTTTAAATTAAATATATCTTAGAGTTAGTTGCAAATCACTCTTTTGGAATAGAATGTACTAAATTCCATTGTACAGCTATGCTATCATTTATTTACCCAGCCCCCTGCTAATGCTCACTTAGGATGTATCCTAGCTCTTATTATTACAAACGGTACTGCAAAAAACAATCTCATACATGCATCATTTCTTATATAAAGAGGTTGCATTCTCAGAAGTGAAGTTGCTGGACTGAAGAGTATATTTATTTTTAGCTTTGTTAGATAGTGCCAATCTGCCCTCCATGGAAGCTGTAAACTAGTATGGTCTCCATGCAAAGTATGTCCAGAAGAACGAGAGTGCCGTGTCCCTGCACCCTTACCAGCACAGGGGCAGCTTCCTTTAAAGTTGACTCTATACACCTCAAGTATACACTGAGAGCAGGCCCCTAGAGAAGGAATGATAGTCTTCAAAATCCTGATCACATACTAAGAGCCTTGGTAACCCATTCCCTGTGCAGGGTCATATGAGGAAAGTTCAGTCCACTCTGGAGCCCTAGCTCCCCACAGTGAATGTAGCTGACTTTGCACAAGATTCAAAGATGCCTGTAGAATCGTAAAATGTCTGAAATGAAAGGTACTTTACATCATCCCCTCCTTTTACAGAGTCTAGGATTTCACAGAGATTTTGGCTGAAGGAGACACTGAGAGGGTATCTAAATAAAGAGCACTTTAGGACTAGAATGTCGCATTCAGCCAGTGCCCACACATCCGATTCCCCTATTCTCATTGGAATCAATATCTTGCTCAGTTGCTGCTGGGAACAGTGAAGCCCATTCTGCCTGGTATCCCCAGGAAAGAGCTCTGCTTCTGAAAGACAACAATGGGGGAGAGTTTGCAAGTCCCCAGAGAACCACAGGGCTTTACTCTGCTTGTTGTCTCTGCAGTATCTCGGAAGATGGTACGAAATTGAGAAGATCCCAGTGAGCTTTGAGAAAGGAAGTTGCATCCAAGCCAACTACTCACTCATGGAAAATGGAAACATCAAAGTATTAAACCAGGAGTTGAGGTGAGTGACTGGCCTATCCGACCAGGCCTGCAGAAGGCTCACCTGGAGTGACAGCCTGGTTCAGGGAGGATGGGAATATTGCCAGGTCTGGACTGCCTCAGCAGACAGAGATGGCAAGGACTGGAATCCACTCATGTGTTTCCACAGTTACTTGCTGAGCACCTATTATATACCAGACCCTGTGTGAGAAGCCAACTGACAGGATTTCCACCCTCATTGCAAGATAGATACTCTGGTGGCAAAAGAAATCAGGGCCCATTTTGCCTAACTTCCAACCCAAGAGAGAAATCCCAAAAGTTGACTACTGACAATTTCAGGCAACTTTACCTAATAGAAAACTCCTTTTCTTATTAAGCAAAAATCAAATACATGCATATTCTCACTCTAGGTTATGTAAAGAGGATATCCTATAGAAGCATACATCTCTATTACTAAAGTTATTACTGAGTACATTTCTATTACATTGAGATAAAAAGGCTTCTTTAATTTTTTTTTTTTTTTGAGTCAGGATCTCACTCTGTTGTCCAGACTGGAATGCAGTGGCACAATTACAGGTCACCACAATTTTGACCTCCTAGGTGCAGGAGATTCTCCCACCTCAGTAAATAGGACCACAGGCATGTGACACCATGTCCAGCTTATTTTATTTTATCTTATTTTTTGTAGGGGCAAAGTCTTGTTATGTTGCCTAGACTAATTTTAAATTCCTGGACAAAAGCTATCTTCCCATCTTGGCCTCCCAAAGGACTGGGATTGCAGGAGTGACCCAGTGCACCCAGCCATAACACTGATATTTGGTCCAAAAATTTATGCTTTGGAAAACAAACATAAACTTAAGAGCCCTAGGAATAACTCCTTCCTACCCACCCTCCATGGACAAAGATAACAACAACAATAAACAGTAACTAATATTTATTAAGCATTTCCTGTGTGCAAAGCACTATTACATTTACACACACACACACACACACACACACATATAAAACATGTGTGTATATAAACATATATACATATATAGATGAATATATATTCATGTAAGTCCCATAACAACCTTGAGGTAGGTACTATTATTAATCCCATTTTTATGGATAAGGAAACTGAGGTACAGAGAGGTAAAGGAAATTTCTCAAGGGTCACACAGCTTTTAAGTGATGAAGCTGAGATTCAAACCCAGGAAGAAGTAAAATGAGGACGAGAACAGAAGAGAAACAAAAGAAAAACTGAAAACGAAGGGCTGTCCTTCCTGTTTCCTATAGGGTCTGAGAACTGCTCAACTCTGAGAAAACACCTACCACTCAACCTGGAAGTCCTAGGCTTAGAGAGACTTTCTGTGGTCACCCCATCATCCGCTAAAACTCAGTGGGTTGGCTCCCTGGCCCTGCATAAACCAGATAAAGTATGGATCGTGAGAACCTCTAACAAAAAAATTCAGCTCATTTCAGAACCCCAAGGAAAGGTTCCAGGAATTGAAAGGCAAATGTACAGAAGATCTCACAGGAATTTTGTAGGCCCCAAAGTTGCAACGACCTCATTTCAAATATTTTATCCCATCTAAGACCAAAAGTGAGACAATGACATAGATCCCACAACCCATGAGCTCCCCCACCTCACCTTTAGAGTTGGCCAAGAGTCCTCTTTAACTGGATCCTGAGGATTACTACATTGCTCTGCCTTTAGGGCTATACCTGTTTAAGACACAGCAGAGAAAGGAGAAAAGATTGTTAGTTCAGGAAAATGAATTGCAGAATGAGGCGATGGCATGGTAACAGGGAGTATGAGCAGGAAAAAACTCTTAGCCAAACGCCAGAGAATCTGAGAGCAAGACAGCCAGCACAGGCACGGGGGCTGAGAGGCTTTGGTTTTAGGCTGACTGGTTTTCAATCCTGGTTCTGCCACTTACCACATGACCTTAGGTTAGTTATGATAATTTTCCAGGCCTCATTACTAATAGAACCTACCTCCACAGAGCTGTTTGAGCATTAATTGAAGCTTATCATGTAGTAATAATTTAATAAATATGACCTACTATTGTTAATCTGCTTCTACCCCTGAAAATACAAATGCATTTTTCCCATGAACATGTTGTGACTTTATGATCAGAGACTGGTGATTTGAAAACTCTTCTGAAAAAAAATGCAAACAAGGCTGAAAAGGAGAGAATCTGCTGAGAAGAGACTGGTTTATTGCCAAGTTATTGTTCTCAGATAGAAACAGACGCTCTTCCCCGGTTGTCTGAGATCTAGGTGAGCAAGGAGGGCACAGTCTCCAGCCCTACATGGTGATTGAGCATGTAGCTGGGAATATCAGAGTAATTTCCCAGCCTCCCTCACCTGTTGCTCACTGTCTGGTTTCTAGGACATCTATCACCACTAATCGCAGCACTAACCTACTGACTTTCCAATACACACGGCTCTAATCTTACTTTGCCCACCTTCCTCTTCCTGAGGATTGACGGACAGACAGCTCCTCTGTGGGTTACCTGAGAAGAGCACCCTGATGCCTAAGCACCCTCCCTTTGGTACCTCCATCCCCAGGCCTTTTCCCTCCTCCCAGGTTCATGGAGTCATTGGGAGTAATTCAGAAATGAGGCTAGGTCCGTCCAAAAGGGTAAACGTATTTTATTCAATCTAAGACAAGCCCTTTTAAGGCCCACCACTATTTCATATACCACCAAGAAAGAAATGGCACTGCTGATTTTGATTGTTAGGTAGCACCAACTCTAAGATGTGTATTTCTAGTCTAGTGTGGTAGTGCACACCTGTAGTCCCAGCTACTTGGATGGCTAAAGCAGGTGGATCACTTGAGCCCAGGAATTTGAGTTAGCCAGGGCAACACGAGACCCCATCTCTAAAAATGTGTGTGTGTGTATGTGTGTGTGTTTCTTAACATTTAATGTCTCTGAGATCTGGGCATGCTGAGAATCATTGAGATAAGGTAAATGTTTCCTTACTGCCTGCTTTTACCTGGCCTACATCGAAATTTCCCACATTTACTTACAGGCTTGCTGAGCTGGAAGGTGTTCTCAGAGGTCAGACCCTTTGATGGGACAGATGATGTCACATGACATCACTGAGGCTCAAAGAAGGGAAAAATTTCTGGGCCTCTAGACTCTGTGTGTTGCTATTTTCAGGAGCAAGTCCACCCTTATTTATTCCTTTGGTCCTCTCTCATTTTTAAAGAAGTGAATCTTCTCTGTGTGTTGGCTTGTCTTATTTGTTTTTACTTCTCATTTACTCCCTCTCCCTTTGAAGCCTGGCGGCAGGGAAGTGGCCTTTCAGACCACTGCAGATAGTCCAAAAGACAGTGCTGCAGTACAAGGGCCTAATGTACTATTCAGTCCTGGAACGTCTCACGTCCAGCTTCTTACCCCACAGCTGGCTTCCTCTGCTTAGCCTCAGAGACTAAGAGAGTGGAACTAGGGTCCAGCCTACCGTTGAGAGCTTCTTGCACCAGAAATCCCGTGTCAGGGGCAGTGGCCCTTAGTGGCTCAAATCTTACCTATCATTGCTTTTTTGCTTTGAGGTGAGCACACAGGGCACAGGCAGTATAAGACCAATCCAGAGGAAAGTGAGGCCCTCAAAATTAGTAGATATTAAAACAACTAGTTTCTAAAAACAACTGGAATATGCAAAAGTTTGAAGGCAAGAGATGACGGTGAAGGCAAGTTTGCCTCCTGGATCTGTCACTCTCTAGTCACATTGTTGGGGACCCTGAGAGGTATTTAATCACAGGCATTTGGCCTCGAGTTCTTTTTCTTGGGCTCGAGTTGTTTTTCTTTTCCCTTCTCTCTTTCTTTTTTAAAAATTCATTGCAGACCCGATGGAACCGTGAATCAAATAGAAGGTGAAGCCACCCAGGTTAATCTCACGGAGCCCGCCAAGCTGGGAGTTAAGTTTTTCTGGTGTAAGTATCCACTTTTCTCAAGATGATTCTGAGACAGAAGCCAGGTTAACTGAAGGCCAGAGCCCTGGATGGGAGCACTCCTGCCACATCTGAGTGTCATCTAGAATGACTCAATACATAACTATCTGTTGAGTACCTACTACATGCCATGGACCGGGGATGCAATGATGAAGATAGAGCTGGCCCTGGTACCAACTGAGCTCACACCCAGGTGTGGATACTGGCAAGTAACCAGGCCATTCACTGCAAAACTACAGGCAGTGTGTCAGGAGGTAAAGCACAGGCACGGGCAGTAGGTGAGTACACAGGGCTCTCAAGAGGTGAGCACACAGGGCACAGGCAGTATAAGACCAATCCAGGGGAAAGTGAGGCCCTCAAAATTAGTAGATATTAAAACAACTGGTTTCTAAAAACAACTGGAAGATGCAAAAGTTTGAAGGCAAGAGATGACGGTGAAGGCAAGTTTGCTTCCTGGATCTGTCACTCTCTAGTCACATTGTTGGGGACCCTGAGAGGTATTTAATCACAGGCACTTGGCCTCGAATTCTGAAATAACTGAGAATTGGACTCAGACAACAAAGAAGGCACCAAATATTCATTTTATTGCTAATATAGACACACTGGCGAATTCATTTCCACACTGTGAAGTTTCCTAATGCTCTAAGTGCTTGAGGCCCTTCTACCCACCTACAGGGCAGACACTGAAGTCACCAGCTGCAAGAAAAATTAATAGCTCCCATCCCTGTGCCCCTTCACCCCACATCAGTCAAGTCCCTAGAGTAGTCCAGAGGGGAAGTTCTTATTTTATAGATCAAGAAAGGAATTCTAGGAGGAGAAAGCAGTTCTTCCCACATATATGACTATGGGTAGCTAACTTTACATGTACAAACCAGAGATAACTGCTCAAGGTTGTAAAGAAAAACTGGATAACATATGCTCTGTAGACTGTAAAGGGCTTCAAGCATGTTAGTTTCTCTTGTTATTTACACACACACAAAAAAGTTGAAGTGCAAGAGGGCTGGGTGAGGGAGGAGTCACTTGTTTAATTGCAGGTAGTGTCAGGACGTAAACCTAGGCTTCCAAACTCTCAACTGGGTGATTTTCCCATAACACAGATCAGGGATGAGACCAGGAGTGAAGGCTAAATATTGTATTCACAATCTTCATGAAGAAGGCTGGGACAGGAGCTAGAAGAGGCAGACCTGCTGGCTGGGGAAGGTGAGGAGGGAGAGACTTACTCTGGTTGGAAGGATCAGAAGTTTACACTGGGCCTTGTAAGGTGTCTGGGAGCCTGTAGGAAAGGATATTCCAAGTGAAGGGTATGGCACAGAAGAAGATCTGGACAAAGTGGCCTGGAGCCTGGGAGAGTACATAGAGTGGGGGATAAGGTTAGGGAGGGCCCTGAATGCCATGACAGAGTTTTTTCCTTAAGCAATAAGAGATTAAGCCTGAGTGGAATGGCTCACACCTGTAATCCCAGGGAGATCAAGATGAGAGGATTGCCTGAGGCCAGGAGTTTGAAACCAGCCAGGGCAGCATGGCGAGACCTCATCTCTACAATAAATCAAAAAACTAGCTGGGTATGGTGGCATGTACTTGTAGTCTCAGCTACATGGGAAGCTGAGCTGGAGGGATCACCTGAGCCCAGCAGGTCAAGACTGGGGTGGCCGTAATCATGCCACTGCCCTCCAGTTTGGGAGACAGAGTAAAACTTTTACTCTTATTAGCAATAAGAGACTGACAAAGTTTTACTTTCATTTTATTATTATTATTTTTTGAGTCATAGTCTCACTCTGTCAACCAGGCTGGAGTGCAATGGCATGCTCATAGCCACCACAGCCTCAGCCTGCTGGGCTCAGGTGATACTTCTACCTTAGTCTTCCAAGTAGCTGGAATCACGGGTGCGAACAACCACACCCATTTTTTTTTTTTTTTTTTTTTTTTTTTTTAAAGACAAGGGCTTGCCAAGTTGCTCAGGCTGGTCTCAAACCTCTAGGCTCAGGCAATACTCTCACCTCAGTCTCCCAAAGTGCTGGGATTATAGGCGTGAGCCACCACACCTGGCTGACAAAATTTTCTAATAAAAAGAAAGATGTGGAAGTTTTCTGTACTAAGAGGAAATATCTGGGCAAATTTATTCTTGAGAGCTAAACCCTGTAGGAGGAAGACAGAATGTTCATGCCTGGGAGTATGCAGGTGGGACATGATGTTGCTGCTAGCAGAGGTAGGAGACATATTTTTCCAAAATCACTCAGTGCTGAAGAGTTCTCGGTCCAGCTGGGAGTATGCAAAGCAGCTGAAATTTACAGACAGCAGATGGTTGATCACTATAACATACTCTCTTTCTCTGGAGAGTGAGGCAGGCAGGCAAGCAGGACACCACCACCAGTGCCAGAGAGGTAAGTCAGAAGCAACATTCAGTCTAGGCTTCTGTCCATACTCCCTCCAAATGTCCTTCTGTTTCCAGATTTATAAACAGCATTAGAGGTAGGAGAGATGTTGGTGATAAACAGCATTAGAGGTAGGAGAGATGTTGATGGGTGGTCGCCTGGGCCAACCCTCTTGTGTTGTCCTGATAACCATCTGGGCCCTTGACACCCAGCCAAGTCCCAACCACACATACACTGCCTCCTTTGTCCAACAGCTTCTCAGGGCACTCGCAAGTGCTGAGTTCTGGTTTTGACTTGATAAATAGGATTATTTTTTAGTAGAGGAGGTGGGATGCTTGAAACCCAGGAAAGCAAATCACCACTGACTACATATGTGTCCAAGTCTTTTGTGCTTATGAGGTCAGCACACAGCTTTCTCCCACTTGGGTCATTCTTCCACTTAACTTTAACAAACTGGACTATGAGTTTTCTTTGGCTTAGATCTTGACTGTAGAGCTCAAATTCACAGAGAAAGTTTCTAGATCCAGATGAGAAGGATGAATCTTCCATTTCTCCTCTTAAGGATCTCCTTAAATCTTGGGCTTTCAACATTTTACAGATGTCCATCAATGAATCTTTATAGGTACTTTGTGAAGAAGAATGTATAGCTTGTTATCAGCTGGCTTACCATATTATTAATAGTAGAAAGATTTTTGAAGGTTATAAAGAAAGAATGTAAAGGAGGGATCTAGAGGGAATTGGGGGTACAGACCTAAAAAGCTGAGGACCCCTGGTCCTGCATATTTGACTACACTAAGGAATGCTTCCCTGTGCACTGGTGCTAAGTGAAGCCTGTCAGTCAAGAGAGTCCAGCCAATCCCCAGTTACCTCAAGAGACTACCTGCTACCTGGGAGGAGGGCCATCATAATAGCTCTAATTCCGGCCATGCATTAGAACCACTAGGGAGCTTAATGTACCAACCACCTCCAGATCTAAATCTAGTGAAGCATGAGGTAAGGTGGGCTCAGTATTTTTCAAAGTCCCTATATGCTTCTAGAGGAAATAGGACCCGACAACCTGGCAGCCAGAGTCCTGGAGATGAGGTTTCTCTTGCCCTGAAGTTCCTAATGCTGCTGCCTTCCTCTGTTCCTCAGTGATGCCATCAGCACCGTACTGGGTCCTGGCCACCGACTATGAGAACTACGCCCTCGTGTACTCCTGCACCACAATCATCTGGCTTTTTCATATGGACCATGCTTGGATCTTGGGAAGAAACCCTTATCTCCCTCCAGAAACAGTGACCTATCTAAAAGATATCCTGACTTCTAATAGTATCGAAATCGAGAAAATGACTATCACAGATCAGGTGAACTGCCCAGAGTTCCTGTAACCAGGCCCTAAAGGGAGGCTACATCCCCTCCATGTTATTTCTTCTGCTTTGCTTTCCCCCACCTGACCCATCCCTCATAAAGACAAACCAACCATGACAAACCATCGCAAATACCAGAGAGAAATTTGACCGCAGAAGACAGTGGAGGGGAACTCACAGGAAGGTGGCCCAACACTTAGTCATCTCTACCCTGTTACCTTGCTAGCTCAATAATAAACTTGTTGCCAACCTGCTGTGCTCACAGTAGATTCCAAATTGGATTAATTATTTTGGGTTTTTCATTATAGCCTTACGCTTAGAAATCCTTCATCAGTCATGTCGAAAAACTAAGCACTGAAATGTCTTAGTTTAAAGGTAACAATCCTGTTTCTGGAAGGGGAAAGCTGATGGAGAGGTATATTCTGGGTGACCTGAATTCAGGTGCCCCCATTCTGGAGTAGTTGCCCCTTTACGAGGAATTATCTGGGTTTTTTTGAGTCTTGGCCAAGCAGCTTCCTTGAAGCTTTTACTTTCTCATCAGGAGGTCTTCAGAGTCAGGCTTGAGGATAGGACAATTTTGGGGTGTGTGCAAGGAAAAAGAGAGTCTATAAGTGAGAAAATTTGGGGATTTCTAAAAAGAATATATATATAGTCATTTCATTCAACTGGTCTGTACTGAAGGACAACTGCATTCTAGGCATTGAAAAATACAGAATTCCTGTCCTCTCACAGAAGTTTAGAGTGTAGTGGGGAAGACAAACAAGCAAAGATGCAATTATAAGCCAAGGTGAGGCGTACAAAGGTGGAGGCGTGTGGAGGGTGCTGTGGGAGCTCTGAAGAAGTCCTGGCCAGGCGCAGGCAACCACAAGGGCTGTGCAGTCTCGCCTCTGGGTGTCACAACTTCCCTGTTCCAGCAGAAGTCAAGAACTACCTTGGGTTTTGTTGTTTATTTTATTTGTTACATGTGACTTTTAAAATCGGAAAGATCTGAGAATGATCACCCTGTAATTTCACTTAGTTCACATATCATTTCTAATTCCCAAAACAAGTTATGTTTTAGGAAGTGAATAGAAAATTAAGTCATTTGATTAGATTTCTGCTTTTCCTTAGCATGAATATAAAATATTAATTTACTTGAGCACTTGAGACTCTTTAATTCTTTATATTAATTCTTTATATTCTGTATAAATATTTAATTCTGTATATATTTATACAAAAATTCTAAGTTTCTTAATATATACAATTCTCATTTAATTAAATAAATATGGCCTCAAAATATAAATTTCAAAAGGTTGAAAGCCATTGGCAGAAAGTAAGGGCCAGGCATGGTGGCTCATGCCTACAATCCCAGCATTTAGGGAGGCCAAGGCGAGAGGATTGCTTGAGTCCAGGAGTTCAAGACCAGCCTGGGTAATATAGTGAGACCTCTTCTGTATGAAAAAATCAAAAAGTTAGCCAGACATGGTGGTGCGTGTCTGCAGTTTCAGAGACTCAGGAAGCTGAGCTGGGAAGATCGCCTGAGCCCAGGAGGTCGAGGCTGTGGTGAGCTGTGATTGTGCACTGCACTCCAAATCAAAAAATAAAGTCAGTTAGGAGGTAGGTATTGACGAAGAAGGGCCTCCTACCCAGCTTTGTCAAATCTCGCACTGTCACAATGCTCACCCACCCAAGGACATTTGGCTCCTTTGCTAAAATACAGTTATTCCTAAGAGCACTGAGCTGACTAGCTACCTTTTATCTCATGGAACAAAATAAGTTGTGATTTCATTCTGCTTAACAGCTGTCTGTTAACACCTAAAGCAATGCAAGTAACTACACTTTGCTCCTTTTTTAGTGTCCTGCCCAATATGTAGGCTCAATTTTTTTGAATATGAATGAATTACTGAATGCGTAGATAGATGAATGGACTTGGGTTTGGGGGTAAAGAAGGGAAAGAAACCTATGAAGCAGGTATCAGGGGTAACCGAACCTGAGAAAACATTTGGGGAATTTAGAGGGCAGCATGTGGGTCCCAAGTGTCCAAGGAAACACAGGAAAAAATAACAAAAGGCACAAAAAGAAGAGGAAGAGAAGGGAAGTAGGAAGTAAGTAGCAAGATTGAGACAGTAGTGGGAGGGGGGACCCCCTAAAATCTGAAATTTATTTATTAAAAATTGTGTACTTATTCTGACATGTTTAAACTTTCATCACCTTCAAAGTACTTCCATTTAATGTAATACATCTATCAAGACACTTTTTTCCACTGCTCAAAACAGTTTTTGAACTCGTCGATTTTGATGCCTTTTAGTGCTTCTACTGTTTTTAGTTTCCCTCTTCCACAGCGGGATAATCTTTTTCCTTTGAGAACTTTTGTCATCAGGGAAACAAGCAAACAAAAGTCACTCAAGGCAAGATCAGGTGAATAGGGAGGGTGGGGCATGGGGGTCATGCTGTTTTTGTTAAAAAACTGCTGAGCCCTCAGCTCGGTGTGGGCAGGTACACTAGTAAATCATCCATCATGAAATGAACAAATGCCTGGAGAGAATATCCCCCCTACCCCCCCACCCCCCAAAAAATCACGGAAGTCAAAAGCAGCCTCTCACAACAATGTTAGCTGGTACATGGATGCCAGTGGGTTCCTAGGGCACTTACCTAGCAGGGAGGAATCCTGTATTACAAGAGGCCTGCCATCCAAAAAATAATTCTGGGGTTTTTTTGGGGGGTCCCCCGTCATATATAATAAATCTCCACATACCCACCATCAGTTCCAACAGTCATCAACATCTCATCAGTCTTGCTTCAGCTATCACCACCTTTTTTTTTTCTAGAGTGTTTTGAAGCAAATCCTAGGTATCATATCCTATCAATTTGCCCATAGCTACCTAAGTAAAATTCTCTAGCAAATACACTTTTTAAACAACAAAACATTGCAAGGTTATGATTTCTATTCTGAAGGTGCTCAGAGACTGTAATCTCTATGTAATTCAAAGATCATTTTGCATAATCTAGATGAAAGTGACAATGTATGCACAGAAATGTTCATAATTTTACTTGTAGCAGTCCCCAAATTGAAAGGAGCTAACCAACCGCAAAGGAATGGTATCATAAATCATGGAATCGTCACTTGATGTAATGTAATGCATTACATTAGCATTTGTAGCTCTCCAGTGTAGGGAGACCTCGTTTCTTTAAAAAAAAAAAAATAGCCCAGCATGGTGGCTCACACCTGTAGGCCCAGCTACTGGTGAGGATGAGGAGGAAGGATTGCCTGAGCCCAGGAGGTCAAGGCTACGGTGAGTCGTGACTGTGCCTCAGCACTCTAGCCTGGGCGACAGAAGAAAAAAAAAATTGTAGTTATGAGAACTACGAAGCCATGCTCAAAGCTGGGAGACTCCTACAGCATGGCCTCGCTGTCCCTCAGAGCTAGAGTCTAGAGAATTTGACTCCGCCTCCCAAGCCACACCTGACTGGCCCAAGATGTGTCCAGCTAGCCAGTGGCAGCCAATTCACAGGCTGAACAGAAACTTCAAACTTTTGCGGTCTCATTGGCTATAAAAGACAAATTGAGACGATCAAATCACTATTTAACTTTAAGCGATCCAGAAGAAAGATAATTGAAAACTCTGAAGCTGTAAGGGTATGTAGTTTATGATGGCCGTTATTGGCGATGCACAACTGAAGTTATGAGTGCAGAGCAGAAATGCAGAGATAAGCAGAACCCCCTATGCACCCACCCAAGGTCCCTGACAGAGTAGCTTCAGGAACTGTTGACTTTCCATGTTCTAGCTTCAGTTCCTGTGGAGCTTAGCTATCTTGGATGCCTGTGCTTGGTTTCTAAAAGATTAAGTGCGTGCGCGCGCGCACACACACACACACACACACACACACACACACACACACACACACACAACTATTTTCTGAGATAATTTAATGTGACTCAGTAAATGTTCTTGCAACCAAAATAGTCCTAAGACAAAAGTGATCACAATAGAATATTGAGTGAAAAGAGAATGCAGCTTTTTAACTATGGTGTATTTATAGCTACATGAATGATGGCATAAAATCAAGAACTAAAAGTGAACAGAGAAAATGAGAGCAATTAATGTGTTAGAGTGGTAGAATTATGGGTGATTTTTTCCCTTTTTGTTTTGGCTACTGCTGCTTATATTGGAGACCCTAAAAATTAAGACCCTAAAATCTTTTAGTTCAACTTGATCCTCTGATAAGTCTAGTGCAGGACCCTCCAAAAATGAGCCTCTTCTTCCAACAACTACCTCAGACTTTGAGACCTTTCTGGACTATTCTGCTATCTCACTACATCTATAATACATCTGAGATAATAGCATGATTTGTGAATAGGGCACGTTATAGCTTAAAACTTCTCTTTGAAAGAAAACATTATTTATTACCAACAAGGTCCTCTATATACTCTTCTAGGAGACATGAATGAAGATATCAAGTGAGGTAGAAAGTTTTTATTATTCCAGTTGTCTAAACATTGTTTTATTTTTATAACATATTTTCCCAAAGCAGCAATCAATTTCACCTTGGTAATTATAAACTATAAAAATTTTTAGTATTGCTAAATATGGTCAATTTTTATACTAAAATCAGTACTTTGACTATGATATGATATTCAAATAGACTCACGAGTTCTCAAGCATTTTCCAGCAGAATAATGAGATATTAACTAAGGAAATGCTAAGAAGTAATGTGGTGGAAGTCGAGTGGACAGGCCCCAGCGCTAGTCCCAGCCCCACTCCTGAGCTCACCTCAGCAGATCTCTCTAAGGACTTTTCCAGGTCAAACATTTATAGTGTTATGGTTTTGCACATGAATAAATAAAGTGAAATTTTGCCAATAAGAAGAGGGAGTATCTGTATCTTTTTTTAGGGAAAATAAGCCATGAACTTGGTTTTGTGTCTTCTTCTAAACCTTATCAATATGTATGTTATTTTGTAGTCAAATGCTCTACCCCTGAGCTATATCCTCACTGAATTATTTTGATGTATTATACTGTTCCACAGGGATACATATATTTTAATCATATTACATGTTATGTTCTATAAATACATTGGAAGTACAATACTACATTTTATTCCCCTGAGTTTTCTTAGTCTGTTAATTATTATTATGTATAATACAATTTTTATATAGCAATAAATATTTTTAATATATAATATAATTTAAACATTAAAATTCTGGTCAGGTACAGTGGCTCATGCCTATAATCCCAGCATTTTGCAAGGCTGAGACAGGAGGATCGCTTGAGGCCAGGAGTCTGAGACCAGCCTGGG